ACCTGCCCCTTCCATAGCTTACATTTTTCATTTGGGTTTCAACGTTTACCTTCCAGGCATTCTTGGCCTTCACTCGCTACCAAGCTATTATCTACTACGCAGCTGTGCACTACCCAGCGTTTTTAGATGTTTTGAGATTACCTCACAGTTCATGGTATTTTACAGCAAGCTTTTCACCTGCCCCTTCCATAGCTTACATTTTTCATTTGGGTTTCAACGTTTACCTTCCAGGCATTCTTGGCCTATTGATTCGCTTGGTCCTAGCTTTCACTCGCTACCAAGCTATGATCTACTACGCAGCTGTGCACTACCCAGCGTTTTTAGATGTTTTGAGATTCCCTCACATTTCATGGTATTTTACAGCAAGCTTTTCACCTGCCCCTTCCATAGCTTACATTTTTCATTTGGGTTTCAACGTTTGCCTTCCAGGCATTCTTGGCCTATTGATTTGCTTGGTCCTAGCTTTCACTCGCTACCAAGCTATGATCTACTACGCAGCTATGCACTACCCAGCGTTTTTAGATGTTTTGAGATTACCTTACATTTCATGGTACTTTACACCAAGCTTTTCACCTGCCCCTTTAATAGCTTACTTTTTCACGCGGGTCTCGGTATATCTCGGTGAGATGTGGAGGATCTTTTGTATGCATGTAGCCACTTTCTGCATTTGTTCAAGCCAATGGCTTGTGGCAGTGCAAATAGCAGAGTCATCTCCAGCCTCAAGACCACTTAGTTACATTTTTCTTCCCCCCCCCCTGCAATCATCCGGAGACTCAAAATGTAACTTACCTACGTGGGAGGTCCCTATGTTACATTTACTGAGCCCCCCCCACCCCCTCCCAAACAGTTCACCGTAGATACCTGGGAGGACCTTAACTTACAATTAATTCTGGGCTGGGGACCCCCCGAAAATTGTAACTTACATTTTGGTAGGTCCCCCCCCCAAAACCATGGTTAGTGGGGTAGGGATCTTTGGTTGCTGATACGCGAAGTTGCTGAAACGTAGTTGCTGAACAGTTGGTTGTTGAAACGGTCAATGACCCCAGCCGGTCTGTCCAGTTGTGGGCGTGGCATGGCTGCGCGGATTGGCACCCCATCCATTCAATTGTCTTGCTAGGAACAAGAAACGACTAGGGGCTCCTGGCATCGCTACTAGGAGCAAGGACGCTACTAGGGGCTCCTGGCCTTACTACTAGGAGCAAGAAACTATGAGGGGCTGAGCTTTGTGGTAGCTCAACAATGACGATGTTTGTTGCGCGTCAGTGCGACTCCAAAGGCTACGATCCCTCACATCATGTCAGGGGTGTTTCACTCTGACATTGGCTTTCTGTTAACTCAGTTCCCAAGTCGAGAAGGAAGGCGAGGGAACAGAAAGGTGCATGAGTCCGCAGAAAAGTAATCCCGAGTACCTATTAAAAAACGGACCCCAATTAAAAAAAAGTCATGCCGGATCCCCTAAATTTGGTTTATATTTGGTTTTAAATTGCCGCCCTTTCAAACCGCTACTAAACTACCAACATGGTCGATTTTGGGGGTAGTTTTTTTTATTAGGTTCCCCAAAACTCCACCATGACACGCCGCGCTTACACCAGCAGGCTTTCCTTCCCTCAATGGCACGGACTCACGCAAACGCACTTGCCACCGAGGTCACGCAACACCGCATGGCACAGCGACATCACCTTTCGAAAGCTTTAGCTGTTAGTCTACTGAAGAATCACTATTCTAATGAAGGTTTTTGTAGGGGAAAAGGAAGACCCTTCGATCTGGCGGTTTTTTGCATTTTTGATATGAGTTTAATAAAGGATTTTATATAAAATTTTCCTGGATTACTTTTTGGTTTTGAAACTCTTTCCAGGTGACCCTATTTTGGACACCCCGATTTCAGGGACCCCCTATTAAAAAAAATGCGACCGAGGTTTCCTTATTAGGCGGGGGGGGGGGCCCGTGTTTATTATTAGGGGGACGGGATTATTGTTTAACAAAAGTTTGACCGCATCGGCAGCGTGGTCCCGGAATCGTTCTGAAGCTTTGAAGCTCTGAAGCTCCGCGTCTTCGCTTTGGCTTTGAAGCTCCTGAAGCTCTTGAAGCTCTGAAGCTCCGCGTCTTCGGTGGAGCTGTGAAGCTTCTGAAGCTCCTGAAGCTCTGAAGCTCTGAAAAGCTCCGCGTCTTCGTTTTTGAAGCTTTGAAGCTCGGCGTCTTCGCGTCATCGGTTGAAGCTCTGAAGCTCGGCGTCTTCGGGTCTTCGGTTGAAGCTTTGAAGCTCTGAAGCTCCGCGTCTTCGTTTTTGAAGCTCCGCGTCTTCGGAGCTTCGCGTCTTCGGTGAAGCTCTGAAGCTCCGCGTCGCCGCGTCTTCGGCTGAAGCTCTGAAGCTCCGCGTCTTCGGAGCTTCGCGTC